ATAAACTTAATCTTAACAACGGACCTTAAGTTTATGCTACAGCACAAGTTGAGTGGCAGATATTTGTTTATTTGTGTAAGTTACACAGTATGCAGAGGTGCTAGTTAGTGAGGCAATCGACCTACTGATCCAGGCAACTTTAACTTCGTTGTGCGATTTTAAGAAAAACCTTGAAAAGGCTTTTTTCAGTCAGTTTTTAAGCTTGGTGTCAGCAAGTGTCTATGGGCAATCTTTGATCAAACCTCTAAACAGGAATTTTTGCATTTTAAAGCAATTCCTGTGAATATCTGTCCAGTGGTAATTATGGTAGTTATGGTAGTTATGTAGTCCATCCATGGATTCATATGACTGTGTAGCGATTTTGCCTCTAGGGTCGACAAGGTTTCAGAGGAGACCCTGGTGCTCAAGGAAGCATGGGAGCAACGGTAAGAGAACACTAGGAATAGGTATGATTGTGGGGCAAGGTAAACCTGGGGCGGGCAGAAAATAGAGTGCTTAAAGAAGGCATGACTATCTGACTATACCTCCTCTAACCCAACAGCAGTCAATTGATAACAAGTTAGGGTTAATGTTGGGTTAGGGAAGGGGTAGGTGGGCAGTTGCCCAGATACTGATATTGATCCCATAGGCACTGGTGAACCGTCAGAGTAGCATGCATAAATACTGGGGGTTAACTGTGTTGGACCAGCATTCCATTCAAGGGGTGGATATCAATACTCATAGTGTCGTCATAGGGTAAATATTTGGCTTGAGAGTTGACCTTTTTCAATGCCAGCCAACTCATCGTCAAGTCCTCGGGCATGTTGACCCTTATTGTGTGTTCTAATAACTTGCACCTTGCAAAAAGGTGGAAAAAGTTGATACAAGCTTGTGGAAAAAAAAAAACGGGTTTCCACGAGGACACCGCAACAGATCTTCTTACTCTATAATCAAATTCTCAACCGACTTAGCTACAGAGAACTTTTAGAAAGTGCCCGTTTTTGTAGTGAGATTAAGCAATGTTAGAAGAATCCCAAGTGGAGGATGGAAGATGTTGATTCTCTGCGAGGGGGGGGGGAAAGGGTCGTTGCACTTACATTACATATTATTACTTTAAGGGACCGCTTGGTATCCAAGGACTCCCCGGTGCACCTGGTAAACTAGGAAATCCAGTAAGTATCCAATCAGGTCGTTCTGGCTCTAAGCAAAGTAGATTTGTGGAAGACTTCAGCACTGTACTTCATCTTAAAATGATCTGTGAATTATGGGAGTGTCTGAGAAGTCGACAGTAAGACAAAGGTTTTCTTGACGTGCATTCTTTTCATTCATTTATTCATTTATTTTCGATATAAGACAGGCTGGCCCAGTTCAGCTTTCAGGCTGGTTGGAATGGGGCTTGTATAAACAAAAGGGCCAGGCCACCCAACCGGAAGCTACATTCCCTACACTTTGCGAGAAGTGCGTACGTTCTTTAACGCCCCCTGTTAACCAGTACAGAGAAGATGCAGAACATGAGGCCTACAGTTTATTGCCTTTATCCAAGAAGACTAGGATGTCTAACCATTTGCAGATGTCGTAGCAAAGGCAGAAAATTCTCCTCAGTTATTTTAAAACCCTGAGTGTTGACCCTGTATCTCCCGCACGGCAATCCAGCGCTCCACACCATGACCTTACCTTAATATTATAGCTATTGCCGTTGATATGAAATATAAACATCATTTATAGGAGTTTGACAGCTGGAACCACTTGCCTTGCCATCGTGCAGAACTCTAACTTGCAAGCTATCCAAATTGTCATACAGAACACAGATTAACGCTGTTTATTCCTCATTTTAGGGATTCCCTGGGACGCGCGGCAAAGATGGCTCACCAGGGTTACAGGTAAACTGTTTGTGCTCAGAGAATTAGAAGTATTTCTTAAAAAAAGAGTTGTGGAGTGAATAAGGAGGACTCTTGCAGAGATTGGAAGACATAAAGTCTGACATATACGTGAAGGTTGCCTTCAAAAGTATACAAGATAATTTGGTCTTTAAACTGAGTTGATAATGTAAAGTGACCACTGTTGAGAGTTCATAAAGCTGACGTGTTCAGCGTTCGCCCTTCGTCAGACATTATGAAGCACCATACAAGGTGGTTTTTTTGTTAAAGGTGTAACAGAGGTCTTCAAAACTTTCAGGGGATTTAATAGGCCATTTTCGACTAATTAAATTTTTAAACATAGCTCCGAGTCTAGGAGGAATAAAACAAAATTAATTAATTATTCATCCCTCAACCTCGATGTGATTTCCTTGGTTTTATTCCCCCAAGCCTCGGAGCCAAGTTTGAATTTTAATATATCGAAAATAGCCTGTTAGAATCTCAGTAAATTTATTCCAGATTAAATAGTCCAGCAGGTACATAGAACCAAAAAGAAATGTTTAGGAACCTCACGTAGGACAAAGAAATCATTATGATATCTTATGAGATGAAGAGTTAAGTAATGTAGGACTTGCAACCTTAAATTTTTTTTCATTTCGGGCTAGTTTTGAAAGAAGAGAAATTAAAGTTAATCTAGTTGCTGGTGTTTTCTGCTTCTGTCGATAATTTTAGCTATGATAATTAGGTTTTAATTTATCATTAATTGTCTCTTAGGGTGAACGTGGACCAAGGGGAGAGCAGGGTCCCATTGGAGCCCAGGTAATTACATTTAATGTTAGGGCCCTCTAGGATATCAATCAACTCTGGAAGAAATAAATTCACATTGTGGTATGTTGCTAATAAAAGCAAAAGAATAATAGAAGAGAGATGAGGGCATTTTGGTATTTTTGTTTCATAAGAATCATACGTAAAGTATTTTCAGGTGCGCCTTAAATTCAATGACTAGGATGTTAGAAAGAGTGTTTGATGGTGATGATAGGTTGTAATAAACAGCTGAAGATGTACATTTTTCACGGATACCACGCCAGAAGTTCTCACATTTTGATAGAAGAGCGATATTTATCCTTGATGTTATACTTTTTTTGACATGTTTGACATGTCAGTCCTTGTAGCTCTCTCTTGTGGCCTTTTATTTCCTCTAGGGAGCTGCCGGCCGTGAAGGCGAGAATGGATTACCTGGATCAGATGGTCTGCCGGTAGGTTTGCATCACTTCTCCATAATTTGTATCTGACTGAATCTGGTGCAACATCGACGCCACCCACTACTTCCAACAGCATAATTTTTGCGAGGAATACCATCACCTCGACTAGACACTACACTATGTCCAAATTTTTCTTAGCTCCTCGTAATCCCAGTGTTATTAATCCTCAGAATTTGGAGCTTAATCTTTGAAATTTTGCTAAAACAAATATTTGTCCTCATGCACGGAAATTGTGTGAAGTTACGTAAAAAATGTTTCTTTTGTTCTCGACAGGGAGACAGAGGAGCCATAGGGGCCTCTGGTGGATCAGGTCCTGAAGGGGGACCGGTGAGGAGATAAGCGTAATGTTTGTGACTTTATGTGTTGATACAAGTTGCCTTGGTGCATTATTACAAAGTTTTCTGTTTTAAGCAAGATCTCAAGCACTGCCGGTGTTTTTAACCAAAGTAAACACCGTAGTGCTCTTTGTTTAGGATCCAGCAGTGATAAACCGGTCGAAATATGGTTTTTGTGAAATAACTAGGTGTCTGCAGTGCACTTTCAACGTAACTGGAGTAACACGTGCTCGTGATCTATTTGTTTCAGGGTTTGCCAGGTCTGCCCGGTCGAGCAGGATTTACTGGAACTAAGGGTGATTATGTGAGTGCCTCATTTGGTTGTTTGTTTCTTGAATGTAGAATAAAATTACTTTGTTCTTATCTCAAGATTGCACGGTTTTTTTCGTCTTGTTCAGGGAGAGAAAGGCAACCAAGGTTCTGCTGGAGAACCTGGCAGAGATGGTGAACCGGTGAGTTATGCTTCCTTTTTGTGACTAGTCTATCATTGTTTTCAATGAAAATAAGTGGTCACAGCAATGGACCTAGGTCAATGGCTTGTCCATTGCAATGTTAAAAGGTCTACTGCAGGTTCACTGTAGGTCCATTGCAGGTCCACTGTAGGTCCACTGCGGGTCCACTACAGGTCCATTGTAGGTCCATTATAGGTCCATTGCAGGTCCACTGCGGGTCCATTGCAGGTCCACTACAGGTCTATTGTTGGTCCACTGCAGGTTCATTGCAGGTCCACTGTAGGTCCATTGCTGGTCCATTGTGGGTCACTGCAGGTTTATTGCAGGTCCATTGCATTGAGTAAACTTCCAGTGCGTAGTTCTGGTCGACTCATTGTGTTGTGTGCTCCAGCGTCACTCTCCATCAGGAGTGACAACGGGTCGGTTCCAGTTAACTATCAGGGAAACCTGAACTGCTGGAATTAACTTTGAGCAACTGAAATTCCTTAAGGGAGAAGTAGGGGTACTCTTTATCGCTTCATACTATTTAAATTGAGATACCTTGTGGAAAGATGGACTGTCTGGATAGTAATGAGTCTTAAGCTTTACCCTCAATCAGATTCAACAAGTGTCCCTGTCTGATGATCATTAACAAATTCTATAAAAAAGGAATAAAATAGAGAGTGTTTCTTTTGGAGATTAGAAGCGAAACTCCTCCCCGGCAGTACGACGTTTGTAGTCTTAATGGTGAAATTATCTCTACCCATGTTTGCCTTTTCTAAGATAATCATCTTGGAAATTTTTTCATCATTTTGCTTCAATTTAGGGCGGTGATGGTGCCCCAGGAGCTGTTGGTCAACCAGGTTTGCCAGGACCTAAGGTGAGTTAGTTCAACTAATTTTTTGCAACTTAAATTCAAGGTAAATCTCTCCCACAATTAATGCGCTTTATGTGCCATAAAAAGAACACGACATCATTTTATTAAGGACCTAACAAAACACTTACAAACGGAACATATTGGTGACTTAGCCGTAACCGAAAAAAAAAAATCTTTGCGCAAACAAGAATCCTTTTGTTGGCAAGTCATTCATTGTTACTTGGTGACTCGTTTCTTTCCGCACATCAGACAGTTTGGCTCTGTGTGATATTTTCTTTGTTATGATTATCTGCCATGATTGCTTTGGGTTTGGTTTTTCTTCACCCCATAGAAATTTTCTATGGGGTGTGAAAATTATCCGGGATTGCATTGGTTTTTGCCCAAAGGTGCTCTGTGATTAGTCCAGAATACTCCGCCTATCTCTCAACCAATCAGATGCAAAACTAAAACCAATCACGACTTTTTCTCATCGGCTCTTCGGGGTGTTATTCCTTTCTTCTGATTGGCTGTTGCGATTACTTTGGTTTTAGTCTAACGACACACAATCAAAAAGCACTCTGTATGTGCTACATAAGTCACAATCTTAACTTTCTTACAGGGCACAGACGGAACACCAGGAGTCCCAGGAAGACGAGGAGATCGTGGAGCCACGGTAACCATTACACTGATTTTGAATTCGATTACGAGAGCAATACGCGATCACATACGTTTTCTTTGGATGCAGCGTTTGGCCTTTGTTAAGGTGTTTACGCTTGAATTTTTTCCCTTGTAGGGAGGCCGCGGATCAGTTGGTGCCCCTGGAAGTCCAGGAATTCCTGGATCCCCGGTACGTTCTGACCAAAGATTCCATTTTTAATTCCAGGAGCAATAAAACATACTACGATCACATATAAAAAATACTACCTTGTAAAACTCCTGGACCCCGTCCTTTATTCAGGAAGCTTCTTTTTGTTTCTACTCTGACTTGATTTAATTTGTAATTCTCAGGGACCAACTGGCCCTCAAGGACTTATTGGATTAAAAGGAAATGCAGGCGAAAAGGTAACGTTGCAAATCTTGAGGAGCTTTCTCACGGTATTTGGAATTATTGTAGGAAAACCTAATAAAACTGATCCAATCCTCTGGGTCTGTAAGAAACGCTTTGTGTTTAGTCTCGATAGTCTGTCGTAAACCACTACGTGGACATCTTTCATTAATATTCTTGAATTTATATTGTCGTATACAGAGGCGTCGATCCTGATAAAATCTATTTTTTGACTTGGGAAAAATCTTTTATGGAAATCCTGAAGACAATAGATAAATTTAACTCACAGAAATATCTCTTTTATATGGAAATGTGACGATCTCTTTTTCAGGGTTCGAAAGGAGAGTCAGGCCCATTTGGATCAAAAGGAGAACCAGGGGACTTGGTTTGTCCAAACTTATTTCATGGCCTTTTAAAACTTTTTCTGAAATTTCCCTGGCACCCAGGAAAATAATTTCGAACGAACACGGCTGAAAGTTCCATGTTTATCTTAGCGCACTAGAAAAAAAAATACACGGCACATAAGTCAAATTCCTTAAGCACATGAGATCAATTTGCTGGGCACACGTGAGAAGATTTCTGTTGTACACGAATAAAGATCTCCTTGGCACAAAGAAAGATATTTTTGGAAAGGGTGGAAGAATTTCATAGACATAAAAATTTCACCAGCACGCTTGTAAAATTCGTATAGGTCACATCTTGTTAAACTAACTGAAAGGGACAAAGCGATCGTGCACAATACCTTCAAGTCCGTCCCTTGATATAGACGTTTTGTCGTTGTCAAGACCAATTTTTTATTCGCCTTTACTCTGTTATCTCCCTAGTCATAACTTGTATTTATACTCACTTTTTTTTAAAGGGAACTGTGGGATTTCTTGGCGCCAAAGGAAATCCTGGATCTCCAGGAGCTTCTGTGAGTAGAGAATACTTTTATTTGAAGACATTAACAAAATCCTGACAACAAAGCAACCTGTCTTTTGTCATCGTCTTACTGCGAGAACGTTCTTGAAACAAAATGTTTTGAATTAAGAGTAAAATTTAGAAAGTGAAACTAATCATGTTATGAGAGCTTGAGAGGATGTTGAAAGAATACCGTAATTTCCAAGTGAGATTGGTATGCTGGTGTGGAGCCCAAGTATTTTATGAAGCTTTCATCTTCGTTTAACCACAGAAGAGAAATCTTAGATGGAGGAAATTATCTATTAACGAATGCAGGCGTTTACGACTTTATGCTCTGTTTCTAACATTCTGTTCTACTTTAGGAGGTGAATTAAAACAAATGTTTCTTCTTTACAAAGGGTAACAGAGGAGCCACAGGGTCACAAGGGCGACCTGGATCGCAGGGCCCACCGGTAAGTTGCAATTTCCCTACTAATTTAGCCAAAATCACCTGTTAACCCGTAAACTCCCAGAAGTGATTAACAAGTAACTTTTCCCCACAATCATCCTACATTATGGAGCAAACGGGTAATGAGAATACTCAAACTTTTTGGGTAGAAGTGATTATCTTGATCTATCACAAAATTCTCATAACTAATTTACAAGGAAATTTGTAACAGGTAGAGGGGAGAGTTAAACCTTAGAGGGTCAAAGTTTGCGTATTTAAGCCAGCATGCAGGCAAAAGTTCAGAGAGCAGCTGTAAAATAGTGAATCCGCCCTGAAGCGTTTTGCGGCACAGATAATTTGAAAACAAGTAATAAACGGATCCCTGAAAGTGATCAGTAATCGAAGAAATTGCATGATTTTTCTTCCTTCGCCTGTGATAGACAATTTGCCAACTCAGAAAAAAAAAGTTAAAAAGAATTGTTTGTGCTTAGTTAGAAAAACACTTAAGAGAAAAAAAAACAAATCGTGGTGGTTAAGGATAAGGAGTATAAATTGATAATTATGTTATTCCTTTTAGCAGTCTTAGGATTGCAACATCCATCGTCAAGGCTATACGTCACTACAGTTTTTTTGGAAGATATTTGAAGTCTATTAAAAAATTTAAAGCTGTTTGTAAGTTTAAAGTGCAGAGGGCCTTTGAGGGTATCTTGTGTCACCCTTCACCTGCGTATATTTTGGATCAGTCTGGAAATTAACTCTTCCTGTATTTTTTCTTTTCTGGTCTGTTTGTGATAACTTATATATTTGGATTTTCTAGGGACCACCTGGCAATAGTGGTTTGACAGGACAACCAGGAATCCCAGGAACTAAGGTATGTCAGCGTCATCGAAGAAATAGTTGATGTGGCGGATTAAAGATTTATATTGCATGATTACAGGACATTTTGTAAAAAGGGAAGAATTTGAAGTTCAAGGCGCTGACACAACGTAGCGCTCGTGGCGTTTTTTAACTCTCAGCAGAAGATATTTAAGCAGAAAACCAATTGCAAGCGGTAGTCAACCACTGCACTTCCTATCACTGAGAAACACATGAGGCAAACACTCGCAAATGATATGAATTGAGACATTTTCGCATCTTTGATCTTTCCTTGATGAAAGCTGGAAGCGAGGAATTGACGGACAATCTATGCTGAACGAAGCCAGATATCCAAGTCACTTTCGCATAGATGAGTTTTGAGTTTCTTAAATCACTATTTGGACTAATTTTTCCAGAGATTGTTAAACGTCCCATATGCTTTTAATGCTAGGAGCTGATATATTAATTGTTTCTTTGGAATGGGGATCACCTACGGGAATGGGGTTGAAATTGCAAACAAAGTTGCCCCGTGCCTAAAACCTGCGCCAGTTTCTTCGGAACATTCTTGGCACATCGCACTATGATCTACAACTTATCTATCTCCCTGTTTGGTATAAGGGAGAGGGGGCAATATGTCTTCCTCTCGCTCCCTGGGGGACGTAAAGATTAGACCTTGCGAACGCTCCTTACCAGGCTGTCGTATTGTAGTGTAGCATGACATAAATGCTCATTTGATTTTGCATCTCAAACGCTTGAATATTTGCAGGGCTCGCGTGGCGCTAGTGGTAAACCAGGAGTTCCAGGCTTACCAGGAAGACCGGTAAGTCATTCAAAACAAATAACTACATATTAGTGGAGAACACAGCTCTGTTCCTTCGTCTTTCTGTTCACATATCGCTTGGCTTGCAAGAAAACTTCTCCGTTCTATTTCCGAAGGGAACTGTATGTGCCTTGTTTTCCAAAGTAGAAAAACTCCAAAGAAAACACACAGAGGATTATGGACGCTAAAAGATTGAAAAGATAAGCGCGGATGACGATTGACGAACCAGAAAAAACTTATACCGGATATTCTGAAGAACGGGTCTTAAGTCTTATTGGGTGTCCCGCGAAACTTCCATGTTCAAGTGATAACCCCGTGCCGCAAGGGAGAGAGAGCTATACGTAGACTGAACCCCTGGTGGAAGTTTTCAAGCACAGTTGTAGCCTCCTTCCGACAAATTCAGATCAGTCGCACGCTTCGCAAATATTCGGCGGATTTATTCTATCTGTCGCCTTATTGACACTACTATTTGTCTTATTCATAGGGAATACCTGGACGTGACGGCCTACGGGGATTATCTGGAACCGATGGAAGACCTGTAAGTAGAGCATATGGTACTTTCAAGGGAAGAGTGGGAGTTGAAGAACATTTGATCCTTTAGTTGCGTTTTGGCCTTTTTTTTATAATAGCAGGGTTTTTTCTTATTGCACGATCGCTTTAGGCTGCCGTTGAATGAGATTTTGTTGTTGATTCAAGCTTACACAAGTGTATTTTAATGTACTCTATAATTAATTGGCCAATCTACCAATGGGTCTGTTCAGGTTTGGAAACATGTTTCGTTATCCCAATTGGCAAGAGGCAGACCAGTTGGCTATACAATAACTAAATAATAATGCTATATGATCGGTTGAAGAAGAGAGAAGAGTCCATATTTTTGAAGTTTCTTTAAATTCATTTAACAGTTAATCAATGTTTCTCGAAGCTTGGTTACATAGTATATATCAGACTCCTTAAAGATGAGGCTTTTTCCAATTATTTTTATTCCCAGGGTTCAACCGGTCCAATTGGAGCGCGTGGGCCCAAGGGAGACGTAGGACCTCAGGTACATATATACTTTTAGTAAGCTGGTTGTAGAATACCGATATCTGCAAGTGTACCAGAGTACAAAGAACGTAATAAAAATTTAGCTATTTTTTTATGAAAGTGCAATATTTATCCATTTAAAACTGAAGCTAAGGGAATCGTTTGATTTTGTGGCTTGAGAAACTCGATGTTACCCGAGTAGGAGCCGAGGAAGACACGGAAATTTGATTGCAACAAAATTGATTGTTTCCGCCGCGGAAGAGTTCGTTTAATTATTTGTTATACAGAACAACAAAGATCGAAAGTTTCTTGTCGGGAAAAATAAGCTAAACGCGATGGGGTCGCCTGAAGACTGAGGAACGCGCTGACTGTCATACTCTGTCTCTTGCTACCTTCAGTCACGTGAAACGGCGGTCGTCAGTCAACATTCGCGGGTGACAATGCACTTTTACACACCTACGTAATGGATGTTGAAATATTGAACGCTCAATGAATACTGGCGGGAAACAGTTTTACTGATAGATGTCATGTAACTTCAAAGTAACCAAAAGAAGCCTTTGCTTTATAGCAACTCTCATTTATGCATGCTGGGAGTCTTAAGAAGTTTTTTATACAGATGTGCATCAGTGAAAATTGACAGAATTTATTCATTTATTGTTAGTTTGTTTTCATATTTCTATTACTTATAGGGCCTAGTTGGCATTCCAGGAAGGCGAGGAAGATTCGGTCCTCCTGGAGCAAAGGTTTGGAACTGTTTCTTTTTTTTTTTTTTTAAGTTGTTTGTCTATTGTGTGTTCGGATACAGACTTTAAAGTGTAAAGCAATTTTTAAGTTAGTGTCGAAACGACATCGGAATATCACTGGTTTTGGTTCGTCGATATTTGGTTTAGCACTCTGATTGGCCTACAAAAGTTACGCTTCTCTTTGAGCCAAACAGGTTTAAATAAGGACCTATCAAAATTGCGCTATTTACAAGTTCCAGCGCTCCAGGCAACTTGCTTGTTTTTGCTTTGAGGTTTAATTGGCTCCTCGAGATATTTTTCGTTATTCTGATTGGCCATTGACTACTTTGATTTTTTTTTTCTTCCTTTTTGATCGAAAAGCGCCATAAACAAATTTTGACGTTTACCCATTGCTGTTACATATTGAACGTGTTAGGAATTGTTAATTAAGCTCTGGCTTGACAGAAGTGAGACGAGAATCTCTCACCGAGTTATCATTCTTCAGAATGTTTCACTCAGCAAAAGCCTTTTGGATTAAGGTCTTTGTCTGGGTCAACAGCAGAGACTATATTATAGAGGATCTTTGTGCAATAAATGTGGTAGGAACATTTTTGTGAACAAGCTAATGTTCGTTCAGTGCAGGTTGCCGATTGGTATGGCGTCCATTTAACACAGGTTTCACTGTACCCTGCTAGCAACTGTGATGCGAACTGTAGTAGAAATAACGAAATAAGTGTCACTTGACTCCTTAGGGCGTAAAAGGAGAAGCCGGCTTTGATGGGAGCCCTGGCGAGGGTGGACGGGAAGTAAGTTATAGATTTTTTTACCGCAGTTAAAGGAGCACTTTCGTGGCTTGGCGTATCCTAAAGACGTTCCATTTTAGAATTCGTGTATCCATCCACGACAATATTTCCATACCCGTTTGTCTCTTGAATCACGCTGTTAAGTCAAATACAGGGAGAATATCGAACCCTTGGGATGTCAAACTCTGCCGTAATTTAGAGCCCCACCGATACGTAAACGCTTTTGGGATGTTGAAACCTGTGGTTATTTCAATCCCCGTTAGTATCTCGAAAACCATACAGTGTGTCTATTGTCTTCTGTTTGTTGAACCCGTTGGTTTGGCAAACCCCATTTGGTATCTTGAACCACTCCGGTGTATCAAACACCGTCAGTATTTTGAACCCTTCCGGTATTTCAAACGCCTTAGTGATTTTGTACTTAGCTGGTAGATCAAACCACGAGTCGTTATCTTGAATCATTTTTGCTGGTTAACGACAAGGCCGAGAATACTGGATTCTACTCACAGAGCTTCAAGACGCGTATTTCATTGGTCAGTCTTTTTACCACTGAAACGAGACAGGTATTTTCGTGGCGTGTTTGAAAAAAATTAAAATTGAGCATTAAAATTTTTTTTTTTTAGGGTTATCCTGGAGCTCGCGGACCCTCTGGAGAGAAAGGCGCAAATGGATCACCGGTAGGTCTAAGCTTTCAACTTTTTGTCGCGTGCGCATCAAACGTATATCGAGGTTGGAGAAAGCTCAAGAGACCACTGCCAGGTTGGCAAAGGTCATGGAAAACCTGGAAGGTCATAAAATTCCGCACAATCATTTTCCAGGCCTGGGCAGTCATGGAATGTGATCGTGGGTCTTGGAAAGCAACGGGTTTGACCGAATTTTTTAGCGAAAACGGCAAAGAAAAAGTGTCTCCTCTACATGATGGTTTACACTGATGTACTCTGGGATTAATTTCTCGATCGTAGGGTACGGGACACATGTAAAATGTCAATTAAATGATTTCGAAAGTAGAAACCCTGAATATTTTAAACCAATAGAAGAAAAACAAAAGAATTAATGTACAAGAAAATAAGATGAACAAGAACCAAGACTCGTAGCTCTGACAATATGCGCTGTCAATCCTTACGTCAATTAACAGCACCGCCAGCCACAGAGATTGATAAACGTTTTATTTGTCTATTGCAGGGTACACCGGGAGCAAACGGTGAAAATGGGCAGAGTGGTATTGGGGGTACAGAGGTAGGAATCAATGATAACACAAGCCTGCTCTTTCGAAGGGCTGCTTGTGATTGTAATTAGTTAAATTTTTTTCAGCGGTATGAAAGAAGAATTATGCTCCAGGACTTATTGAAAAATTATCTTGGGTTCTCAGCAATTTCCAAACGGTTTTTTTTTTGCTTTGAAACCTTAAAACTCGGTCATGATCACAATTTTATTTCTACTTTTGAGTAGCGAAGATAAAAATCGTATAGTTTATAAAACGTACTTCTCTACCAAGGACCAACAATTTGCAAGGTGATACCTAAAGCTGGAGTGAACAGTAAAAACCGAAGCAAACAACAAATCTCCTTTTCATGTTACAAACTGCATGAGAGATAAGTCTAGCTCTGAGTTAGTTTTTATGTGTTATGAGTAACACCATGAAGCAGGTTCAGCGGTAAAAATGATTGCCAGGAGATAAGATTACTCTCAAAGGTGACGACCAACTAGTACACTTTCCTCACAGTTTTAATTGTTGAACTTACAGGCGACAACGGGTGAAAGGTGCACTTTTGGCACCAAAAATACACAAACGTGGAATAGAATTGTCTTTCGGTGAAATCAAAAACTTAAACTGGATTTGCAGTTTTTGTAGCACAAAGTATGAAATTTTCACCAATCCAATTTTATAAACTTCCAGCTCCACAGGAATGAAGAAAAGAAAGTTAATGTTACCTTTTGATTTTTTTTAGGGTGATAATGGCCCCCGGGGATCCCCCGGCGTGGACGGAACTGTGGGAGTTCCTGGACCAATGGGATCTGCTGGTGCAAAGGGACCACAAGGTCCCCAAGGAGATAATGTGAGTAGAACCCCTTAACATTGCTAACTTTGATTTAAAATTAAGGTTTCCTTTTCGCAGCTGGTCAATTTTTTAAATTCTGTTCTTGTGTGGATTTTATTCATGCAGGGCGACCCTGGTAGAAACGGCAACTTCGGACAAGTTGGCAAACCAGGAAATAATGTAAGTTAATATTTAATCTCAGTATTACATATTTAAAGGTATCTAATCGTTTTCTCATTTCTTGGTGATTTCGTTACATTAAATCGCCATTTGTCCTCATCACATTAAAGTAACAGATGTAATCCTAGGAAGAATTTTTGAAACATTCCTCCTCTCCTCCTCCCCCCCCCCTCCCTTTTCGGTGAAAAATTTAGTCGGCTGCAAAATAACCCGTGCTGTAGAGAGGATCATGTGGTCTCAGTAGAACACAACGAGGGTTGTTTTCAGAGTGAAGTTGTGTTAGTTTCAGCTGTCAGCTCCTCATTACAAATTGTAAAAAGATAAACTTATTGTCGCCCCACCAAGCCTAGTATAACAACTTGTTGCCGTTGTTTTTGCACTCCTTTTGGAAATTCTGTGACTAATGATCGTACATACGTAGACAAATTGTTCTGTGATGCAATGCTTACTAATTTAGACTGGAAAGCCGAGAGGGATTTTAATCCAACTCAGCGACTCTTTGATGGTCAATCAATTTATGTATCTGATTTTCTTATCTTGGTATCGGGGGAAAGACGTTTATCGAGGAATAAGATG